TTAACTGAAGATGCTATATTAACACGATAGAATGATATTTTATCATCAGTTAATGCATATTCTCTTCTGAATATTCTCTTTGTTCTCCTCTACTTGTCTTCTTGCTTAGTCATTTCCTGTAATAGTACCCATTTATGGACATATATGTATGTTAGACAAGAAATTAAAATTTCTGAAAATTTAAAACTTTTCTATTACAAACTCAAATCTCATTTATTTATCTGCATTGTTTTAAAGCAAACTTAAAATTTTCGTTTCTCTTAGTAGAAATTCAATTTTCATTTTTTCATGTTAGAAAATATTAAATATTTCTCAGTATATAGCATAAACTTTGTTATTTTTATATTTCAAAAATGCGAAGATTAAACTAGACATTCGAAGATAGTTTGGTTTGTAATCAATGACATTTAACACCACATTGCAATTTTGCACATATATTTTGCAGCTCTCAATAAATGTTGTTCTTGGTAATGTTGTTCAATCGACATCACATAAATTACCAAAAGTTACACTTGAATAAATTCAAAAGATCGAGTATTGAACATTATGGAGAGATTATACATATTGGTGAACATAATATATGTATATATTTATAGAGAAATTTATATTTTTATTCTATAGTCATAAGAATATAATACAAGAATATCTACTTAACTAATGTACATAACCTTGATTGAAATGTATATTTTTAGTTCATTTTGATCTTCTCTATCGATTCTACCAAATGGAAAAGATGTTTTGATTTTTCTAATAGAAAAAAACTTATGTTATGATGTTTTCTAGAAGATTTTAAAAGATTCCTAGTCTTCTATAATCTCCGATTCGAGCCATTACCGATGAACTGTAGTATTCTTATCATGCTTTGATGAATGCAGAATTCACAAGAAGTATTCATTATTGTATATGAATATAGAACCAAAACAAATTAGAATTTCTCGACGGAGAGTTTTGAAATGTTCGTTCCAATTTATCCAGTACATTGACATTTAGTATCGCAACAACAACATATTGAGTAAGATATGTTTTCCAACCAATATAAAATTGTTTTATTCCAAATTGTTGTAGTATTGTTTTGAACAAATTTTTGCTTTTATGTTTTTAAATAATCAACTACATCAGTGACCAGGCATATTGATGCGATGAATGGATGTGGAGAGAGGAGATACTAGAAACATGATATATGTTACAGTTTAAATTGAAGTTCCAGTTTTTATCAAGCAAAATTAGAATCTTATTTTCATAAACTATAAAACTGGAAGAAAGAAAACAACATCAAAACCGGGAATGAGATCAAAGATGATGGCGAGGATGAGAGAAAAGGTACTGTTTTAATATTCGCGCTCAGTAGCCTTGGTTAGATCAAGAAAACTCTTGACAAGAGTTAGTTTTTGAGTTAAATTAAGGTTTTACGCCATTATTTCCTCTAATGTCAACCATCCCACATGATCCAAACTCACATCCCAGTCGAACTCAGAACAATTTAATCTATTGAGAACCACTACATAAAACTCAGAAGTACTATGCCTTCAACTACGATGATTATTCTCTGAAACCATTTCATTTTCTGGAAAAGTAATGATTTTCTTCTTCTTCACTTCTCATATTACTTCAGAAAAATTTAAAATTGCTTTAACGGATTCACTTATTAAGATTTAATATAGAAATATCAACAACAGAATACTTGCACATGTAACATTTTGGTGAACGACGAGGAAATAGGTAGGTGCTTTCACATATTGTGTCTCATATAAATGCAATCGTCTAACTCTTACTATTGTATTTATGTACATAGACTCTGTTCGTGTATATTACCTATACTGTACGGAACAGAATCTCTCATGCAGCGAACGAAATAAGAGTAAATACATTGAATGATAAATGTCAAGCAAAAATGGAAAGAGCAAAAAAACATTAACTCACAATCCCATATATTACCTAGATTGATGATGAATAATCAATAATTTTGGCGAATACCTGTTATGAATAACGGGTTCTCGTTATTTTCGATTATTCATATGTTCTTATTCAATAAAATAATAACCATCTATATAGTACCTTATAAAAAGACAGGATTTCAAACAATTTGTATCAAATACAGACCACCTTTATTTCTGATTATTAACATACAATTATTTTCATGTTCTCTACATACATACTATTTCTATTTTACTTTATAAGTTCTGGCTCTTATATAGATGCATTTATTCCATATCCAGTTGTTGCAGATGGTGCTCAAACCGCTGATAGTAATTTTTCACTTTATTCTCAAAATTAATTTCTTTTATTTTCTTCTAAATAATAGGTATTACACATACAGAAATTACACAAGCTGGCTTTATTCGTTGTCTAGCTCGTTTCTTTTATGATACACGAATTAAACCCAATAATAATAATGGAAACACTGTCAATGAACAAACATATTTTACTGAACAACATACTGTTGATGACCTTTATAAACTTGCTTATCCTCAATATAATGAAGTACAACTAGAATTACATTCACTTCCACTAAAATTTGTTCTTGATTTTGTTATGACGGAAAATGCTCTTGTTGATTTTGATCTAAGAACAAAGAAACTTTCAGCAGCACATTTTGATAGTGAAGCATTTATAAATGGTAGTCGACGTATTCTTCAACTTAGACAAATAGGTAAAACATTTCTTTTTCAAATGATTATTAATAGTTTATTTCAATATTTGTACTAGTTGTAAATGATACACGTACTAGTGGAAAAGATTTAACTAATGCACGTCAATCACTCGGACGATTACTTCATACATTACAAGATTTTTATTCACATTCAAATTGGATTGAAATGGGTCAAACGAATATTAACGATCTTATTGGTATAAACGAAATTATTGGTTCAGTTGCTGGTCGAAATCAACCAACGTGTACAAATAATGGATGTACAAGAATAGAAAAAAAATGTGTAAGCAGCATAAATATGAAAGAATAATTCAAAAAGCTTCGACTCTCTCTATAACTAGAGATCGTCTGTATTGCATATTCGTATAGGCAATTAGTAAAAATATACAGTTTAGTGGAGAATCAGAATATATACCACATGAGAAAACAATGTTTAAAAATATGGCATAGTTCTGAAAAGTTATGATCATTCTAATCATAATGAGTGAAAATTTTAGATTTTAGAGTTCTTATGAAAACAAAAAATATGCTGATAACGACCGAAGCAAATTATCGTTTTCTAAATATTTTTTTCATGCTTCATTAGAGTTCAACGACCTTCTAAACACTCTAGATCTTATAAAATCTCCGATGATGTTTTTATTAAAAAACTTGAAGAAAGAAATCAGAAAGACTAAACGAATTCAATACTTCCTCAATTAGAGAAAGTTTATTGAATTTCCAATAATTTTAAAGAATCACTTTCATTCTCTGCTCACAAAGGTCGGGAAGTTTATTCTCGACTTTTATATGTGAAACAGAATCTTGACACATAAATTAAAAGTCTAATAGCTAAAATTATTTTAGCTAGCCAGACTCTCTAATACAAGATGTACACAATTCAAAGATCGTTGAACTCTCGAGAAAGATACTTGGCTTGGACCTTTACAAGCATATTTCAAGTTTACAAAAACTGTAAAATTTTAAATGTTCATGTTAGTCATTATGAATAAAATGATCATAAGTTTCCAGAAGTACGACATACTTTTAACGATTTTTTTACTCAAATCATACCTGTTCTGGTTCTCTGCTAACTTGTGTATCTCAATCAACTACTTATAAAGATATATGTTATAGCTTATAATCTATGTACAGACAGGATTGAAACCTTTTTTTTAATTATCTTTAATTTCATTTTTTTCCTTTAATAAATTTTATCATTTCATAGGCTCTTTGGCAACGAATTACATATAGAAAATGTCCTCTCGTATATTATGACTGTAAAAATAATATTTTATCACAAATTAATGATCAACAGTTACTTACAAGTGGATATCTTTTTAATCAATCCAATGAAAATTATGATCTATTAAGTAAACCAACAAATGTTGAAAAATGTTCTCATGGTGGAGTAATTGATGATTCAGCACATGTACCAGCTATTGGTGGAATCAATAAAGATTCTAATACTTTGATTCTTTCACCTCATTCTTATCTTCAGTAAGTTTTTTGTGAGGATATAATTAATTTATGTTCCATAAATCTCAAACCGTTTGTATGTTTTTTTTAGTTTCAAAGCAGTAGCCTTAGCTGTGAAAGCGACTGAACAATTTCTCAATAATCTACGTAAAGATATTGGAGATACAAATTTTAATGAACTTTTTATCATTAACCCAACACCAGCACAATCAAAAATCGTATCAGATGCAGTTGAAAATGGACATCGATTTCGATTTTTTACATCATTTTATTCAGCTAGCTCGAAAGAAAGTGATAATCTTTTTACAGATCTGAAAAATTGGATAAAAAAACGTGTTAATATGCTTAAATTAATAGTAACTGGTATATTTACTGATGAAAAAAGTCTTGATATTCCAACATATGATCTCAGTAGCCTAGGAGTTGATGCTAATGATCCAGATAATTTCCGTGCAGCACCTTATATTCTTCGAACTGAAAACGTCGGACACAAGAAACGTTTAATCAATTTCCTTCGTCATCGTCACTAGATTAATGAGCAAAACTTGTTTTTTTTTCAATACTGCTTGTAGAAATAAATTAGTTGTGTATGAATCTATCAAAGAGAAATTATGACATCGAAATTAAAAAAACAACAGAAAGAGGATATCCAAACACTAAACCAACAGATAATTTCCTTCAAAAAACCCAATTCCATGATGATGAAAGTAAAAATCACAATGTAATGTACATTTTTTGCTTTTGCACACATATTCATGCAGAAATATGTGATCTTGAAAACTATTATGGAAACCGGATGGTTTTGTTTTGTATGAACAGCCGAACTGTAAAGAAAATTAGATCCTATTCCTAGTTTTTGTGAAGAATTATCATAATGATGGCTACATTACCAGTGTATTAAATGATTAACGAGTTTCTCTTTCATTTCCTTCTATCATTTGTTCTTTGAGTAGATCTGCGATTAGATAATGAGACAGAGACACACGAATAATAATGCTTTAGCAAGGTAATCGCTGTGTAATTGAGTAGAAAGGAAAGAATAAAATGAAATAAATGTTTTAGCGAAACTGTGCTTAATCATGCGATACAACTCTTGTTGGAAGAATAATTAGGATCTGTAGATACTGGTTTACAAGAAAATGTGGCTTGAAATTGCACTATAATCGTTATTGCCGTGCTTAAATATGAGAAAAGCATAATAATTATTACTACGTTTTATTGTAGCAAACCATGTAAAGGTTAAAGTCGAAGAAAAAAAAAGTAGTTCTTTTCATTTCAGATTCTATTAGATGTTTAGATATGACAAGAGTGAGAGTATTTTTTAGAAATATTGGTTATAAATTCTTTACAACGGTTCTAAAACGATCCTGTAAGCATCTTTTGACCGTTCACTCAAGTGAAATGTTTTACAATGAATAAAATTAAACGCTTTAAAGTCAGCTAATGAAGCTTGAGTTTTTTTCAACAACCTACGAATAGCTTATGAAAACATTCATATTTGTATAAGGGTAGAAAAGAAGTTCACACATATAACTCTATAATTTGGATACCAGTTTTATTAAATTTCTTTTAAATTATAAATGTAACACTAAAAGCAAATTGAATCAAACTCAAACGAATAATAGTGTTTTTGATTCAACCTCTGTTGTATATTTTGCTGGAGTTTCAATCATTATAATCTTTATAAACATGACTTACTTTTGGCTGATAGTTTTTCTCTTTTTTTTCTGTCTTGGATTCGTAATCGTTAACGCAATAAATACTATTCAAAACGCAAAGTGCATCAAAGTCATGATCAAACCATAATTAATAAGTTGGAATGGTTTTTTCTAACTGCTGAAAGATCTAAGAAAAAGGATGTAGATTGATGCATGTGATTCGTTAACAAAAGTATATATATAGTTAAATGATATTTTGTGTAAATAATAAAATACAAGCATTATGTTTCAACACTAGACATTCTCATCGATCACTATATAGAATTCAACGTTTTCACCATATGCAACCCAGTGCTATTCGATACTGAAAACCTCGAAAATATTGTCAATACACGATGATCTATGATCCTCATTTTTATTCTCCACCGCCTCCTGTGTTAGAAGAAGGTTATTTTTCTATTATGCTTTCTTCACTTGTCGAATTATGTGGTATATAAATAGCAATCCATCACTCACACCACCATTGTAGGTGGTAGTGGTGTGACTATTGTTAGTGGTTATAGTAGTAGTCGTTTTCGTGGTCACAGTGGCTTTCATGGTGCTAGTCATAGTAATGTTCATGTTGGTAGCCATGTTGGCAGTTGTGGCGGTGGAGAATGCTGAGGCAGCAGTTAAGATAATCAATATTATCGATCAAAATGACGCAACTGACACTTGAATGTTTAAACAATATTCTTTTTCTCTCTTATATTTGATCATTCTTGAACTAAATTCATAAATTAAAATCTTAGTAAGCTCGATTTTATTATGATATATGACGGTTATATTACATCATATTTTGTGGTCAATGTATATATTCTCTTTGCTTTCTTATTCGCTCGTTTCTTCTAATAATATTTATCTTGAAAAATATATATTTTAGATGAGAAATTAAAAATTTCGAGTATTTACAACCTTTCTACTACAAACTCAAATTTCATTTATTTATCTGCATTGTTTTAAAGCAAACTTAAAATTTTCGTTTCTCTTAGTAGAGATTCAATTTTCATTTTTTCATGTTAGAAAATATTAAATATTTCTCAATATATAGCATAAACTTCGTTATTTTTATATTTCAAAAATGCAAAGATTAAATAAGACATTCAAAGATAGTTTGGTTTGTAATCAATGACATTTAACCCTTTGAGTCCTGAATTTTTTCTATCCAACCTAATTTGATGAAACCACTAGGAATGATAGAGCTAGGTGTGCTAATGAATTTCCAGTCTCGGACAGATGTTGTTAAG